AAGAAAGAGAAAGAAAGAGAAAGAAAGAGAAAGAAAGAGAAAGAAAGAGAAAGAAAGAGAAAGAAAGAGAAAGAAAGAAATAGAAAGAAAGAAATAGAAAGAAATAGAAAGAAAGAAAAAGAAAGAAAGAAAAAGAAAGAAAGAAAAAGAAAGAGAGACAGAGAAAGAGAGAGAGAGAGAAACACAAAAAGTTTTGTTAAGATTGGAGCAAATTTATTCAGATTCAACATAGCTCACCTTGGGGGATAATTGGCTGGAAGTCCATCAGACTGCCTGTTTTCCCACAATGCACACTACCAGATTAGTGAAGTGATCTAGGTTGGCAACTTTAAGAGGTGTGGACTGAGGAATTCTGGGACTTCAACTCCCAGAATTCCCCAGCCAAAAATTGTAGCAAAGATGCTTTTTAAGAAATATCAGGGTTATCTATCCTTCCTTCCTTCCTTCCTTCCTTCCTTCCTTCCTTCCTTCCTTCCTTCCCTTCTTCCTCTACATCTTTTCTTTAACTTTCTATCCTCTCTTTCTCTTCCTCCTCTCCCTCTCCCTCCTCTCCCTCCCTCCCTCTCCCTCCTTCCCTTCCTTCCTCCCTCCGCCTCTCTTTTCTTTTTTTCCCCTTCCTACCCTCTTTCTCTTCCTTCTTGCCTTCCTTCCTTCCTCCCTCTACATCTTTTCTTTTCCTTCCTATCCTCTTTCTCTTCCTCCTCTCCTTCCTTCCTCCCCTCCCTCTACATCCTTTCCTTCCTCCCTCCCTCTGTCTCTCTTTTCTTTTTTTCCCTTCCTACCCTCTCTTTCTCTTCCTCCTCTCCTTCCTTCTCTCCCTCCCTCTACCTCCTTTCCTTCCTTCCTTCCTCGCTCCCTCCCTCTTTTCTTCTTACCCTCTCTTTCTCTTCCACCTCTCCTCCCTTCCTTCCCTCCCTCTACCTCCTTTCCTTCCTTCCTTCCTTCCTTCTTTCCTCTCTCCCTCTGTCTACCTCTTTTCTTTTCCTTCCTAACCTCTCTTTCTCTTCCTCCTCTCCTTCCTTCCCTCTATCTCCTTCCCTTCCTTCCTCCCCTCCCTCCCTCTACCTTTTTTCATTTCTACCCTCTCTTCCTCCTTTCCTCTCCCTTCTTTCTCTCCCTCCACCATTTTCTTTCCTTCCTCCCTCCCCGCGCCCTCCCCTCGCTTCCTTCCTGCTCTGCTCCTTCATCCAGGCCTTACCCACAGCAAAGAGCACCATGCTGGCCCCCTCGCAGCGCCGTGGGCGGGTGCGGCTGTTGCTGAGGACGGCTCTCTGCTCGGGCATCAAGTGGTACTTGAGGGCTTCGATTAGCAAATCTTTGCACTCCGAATGGTGCCGGACCAGCAGTTCGGTGTCAACGTTGCTCATCAGGAAATCCCGGCTGAGCAAGGGAAGACGGACGCACTTCATGAGCTGCAAAGGAAGAATTAGAATCCAGAAAAAGGACCTCACACGCGAGGGGGGCAGATGGCCAAAAAGGCTGCCCTGGGTTGCCCTCTGGGGAAAAACTGGATGGGAAGATCAGCTTCCGCTTCAGAAGCTTCCATCTCCCCAATTCCGCTTCATTCAAGAGAACGTCTCCCAGAGAGATGCCCCTCGGTGGAGGGTTAGGGTTTGCCTAGATGACCTTTGAAGGACCCTTTCAGCTCTATGGTTCAGGAACCACAGCTGCAATGCAAGAATCAGCGGAGAAAATTAGGAAGACCTAGGCTTCCCCAAACCACGAAGCAGGCTCCTTGTCCCGACAAAACCCCTTTCTATGACACTAAGGTGAATTCCTTCCTTCCTTCCTTCCTTCCTTCCTTCCTTCCTTCCTTCCTTCCTTCCTTCCTTCCTTCCTTCCTTCCTCGCTCCCTCCGTGTCTTTTCTTTTCCTTCATACCCTCTCTTTCTCTTCCTCCTTTCCTCCCTCCTAGGAAAATGAAATATTGTAGGAAATAGTAAAAGGGCAGAATATTTCCCCTAAAAGGGAGGCAGGAACTCACACTATCCACCACCACCTTTGTCGATTGGGCCATTAAGGTCTGAGCCAGTCGATTCTACATAACACAGATCTACCTCCTTCAGGCAGAGCCATAATGGAATCCCAAAGTCCTTTCATTACACCATCACCCAGCAAGAGTCAACCAAGCTTAGGACAGCCTTCAGAGTTGCCCCGCGGGAATCCGACAACCAATCAGAATAGAAGCTCAAATTCAAAAGCCCAGGGAGGGTATAAAACTCAGCATCTCCTCCATTTTTCTTCTTCTTCACCCAACATCTTCAAGCCATGTGGTCCTGTCCACCATTAAACCATCTTTCCAAGCAGCCTCCATGTGTCCAGTGTCTTTCTCCCCACTTGGAACTGAACCCAGATGGATGTTCCTCAAACCACGAAGCAGGCTCCTTGTCCCGACAAAACCCCTTTTTATGAAGCTAAGGTGAATTCCTCTTATTCACATCCAGCCAAGTCCCGGCAAACTAGTGGTGGGTTCCAGCCGGTACAGCCCGGTACGACCATACCGGTAGTAGCCGGGAGCAGCTGACAGGGTACCGGTACGGTGGCTCGTTTGGCCCACCCGCCCGCCTGCGTTCCATACCCGTTTTTAAAGCAACCGGCCAATTGTGTATGCGCGCCCAGTGTGCCGTGCCGGTGCGAGCTCCAACAAACAGCTGGGTGTCGCAGGGGCAGTGGAGTGCGCATGCGTGCGCAGCACGTGCACGAACAAGACGCATGGCCCTGTGAGCAGCGTACCGGTAGCGACAAGGAGAGGAACCCACCGCTGCGGCAAACAGTCTTTCAAGGGTGAATTTACAACCACAGACCTTATCAGGCTTGGAGAGCTGCCAGACCGATATCTTCCA